ATGGGTAGTTATTTTTAAAATTTAATAGAAAACAATTTTTTTGTTTTTATTTATTAGAAGATGAATGGTTTTCAAGATCATTATTTGTTCTTGGAGAACATATGCTTGTGTGCATCGAAGACATCTCACAATTCGGATTTGATTCACAAGATACCTTTGCCCCATATTTCTCACTTGATACTTGCTCTTCTCTTATCAATGCATTAGAAATGGTGAATCATCTCTTCATTTTCTTTTTTCTTTTTATCTTTTTTTTTTATATATATATATAACAAAGAAACCAACGGAAAATACATTGCTATTTTAAGGTGATTGAAACAAAAGAGAGGTGTTGTGTGACATTATCTCTAAAATCCGTAACATCCGTGTTTTCCCCTCGGGATGTATCCCGAAAATCGGTCAACGCGGTCCCCGTGACATGGAAGCTGAGGTGGATAAGTGAAGACGGTTTGTTAAAATTTGTTGCGCTTGTGAAGGCGCTCCATGCCGGAGTGGGGCCCACATCGAGTATTACCATAAGATACACATCTTGAAAAACTTGGTCAAAGGGTTCCAGCCTCAGCAGACACAGTGTGAGAGTTGAACAGGGTAGCCCAGATAATGGGTTGGTGGAAGAATAACTCTTGTTTTTTTTTTTTTTTTTTTTTTTTTTTTTTTTTTTGTATTTGAATGTAGGTTTGGGGTTTTGTTGACGATTCATTTTATTCATTATAGTTTTGTTGATTTTAAATAGTTTTTTTTTTTTTTTTTGAAAGTTGGAAGGACGTTAGTTGTTGTTTAGGTTATGTTGTTTTGTACAGAATAAATGTGTACAGTTTAGTGTTAGAAATGGATTGGATGTTTTTTTATTATTAAAATGGTTTCATTTTCATGAGCTTCTTTTGATAATAAATTCAGACTTATTAGTAACGTTCTAAAAAAAAAGGTGGTCCGATAATTTAATAATGGGCTTTATTCGGGCTGCTTTTGGGTTTGACTTCGACGGTTCGGAGTCGGATCAGCTTTATTTTTGTTCCTTGTTTTTTCTATTTGTATTTTGTAGTGTTTCATGTTTTTTAACGAATTTTGAATTTACAATTTATTTGTATTTTTTTCTTTTTGTAAACTAGATAGAGGTTGTGATGCTATTTTCCTGAAAATTTGTGTATGTACATATTACAAATTGATTAGAAAACGAAATAGATTAATTATGAATACCATATAAAATAATACTAAAATAAGAATAAAGTTATTAAATCACGAGTAATGATAATTTTATTTAGTAATTGGTCCAAACGAAGTAAGTAATATGTATGTTAATAACTTAACTGTTATGTATGTTAATAACTTATTAGCACGGGAGGACATACATAGTTGTCTGGGATAGCCTGTCTTATATTTTAATTTTTTTTATAAAATTTTTCGTATAATGTAATCTTGCATGTTATTCCTAAATTCATGTGTGCTAGTCCAAATATTTTGTTACTACTTATTAAAATATTTAATTATTCCATTTTTTTATTTTAATGTATTTTTGTAAGTTATATTAAACCAACAATGCATATAAATTTTGTAATCCACACAAGATTTTAACGTACGAAATGAATTCCGGGAACAACCTCCTAATACAGTATATGCTTCATGTCCCCAAATCGTAAGACTGAGTCGAGGTCTACCCCTCTTTGCATATTCTTAAAAAACAAGGTTGGGTTCGTACATATTTTTTCAACATTGTATTTATCTTATTACATATGTAGTTGAAATATTATTGATTTTCCACTATTTTTACATTTGAGTTCTAAGATTTAATAATAAAAGTATGTCACAAAAAACAAATCACTTCCATATTGTTAAACAAGGCATTTTGTTCAACAAGAGGTATATGCATACTTGTTAGATAGTATTATTTAATAAAAATATATATGTAAATATCAATTGTAAATATATAAAGATGTACAATTGAACTATTATTATAAGTCATATATCATTCTTATTATCAAATAAAATAATATAAAATACAAAAGCATTTGTATCCCTTTTCCACCCTCAATTCGAGCTTCCACCTACCTAAATTAACATATAAATACCCACAAACACCACAACAAATAAATTAAAAAAAGAAGTGGGAAAGTAATCAAATATTACAAAACCATTCCTCCCTTCTCTTTATCTTTGGAAACTGCAACCATCTCAGTTTCTTCATAACCCCATAAACCTTCAAACCTCCATTCTTGAACTTCTTCTTCATCTTCACCATTCACCATGATCACTCTGTCAGACTTCTACCATGTAATGACCGCCGTCGTCCCCCTCTACGTCGCCATGATCTTAGCTTACGGCTCCGTCAAGTGGTGGAAGATCTTCACTCCCGATCAATGCTCCGGCATCAACCGTTTTGTTGCCCTGTTCGCCGTTCCCCTCCTCTCCTTCCACTTCATCTCCACCAACAACCCTTACAAAATGAACCTCCGCTTCATCGCCGCCGACACCCTCCAGAAACTGGTGGTTCTTGCCGCCCTCGCCGTCTGGAGCAACGTCAGCAAAAGGGGTTGCTTAGAATGGTCGATTACACTCTTCTCTCTATCGACTTTACCTAATACACTCGTTATGGGGATTCCTTTGCTTAAAGGAATGTATGGTGGTGAATCTGGTAGCTTAATGGTTCAAATCGTTGTTCTTCAATGTATAATCTGGTATACTTTGATGTTGTTTTTGTTCGAGTTTCGTGGTGCAAGATTGTTGATTTCAGAACAGTTTCCGGGAACTGCTGGTGCCATTGCTTCAATTCATGTCGATTCTGATATCATGTCATTAGATGGACGACAGGTTCTTGAGACTGAAGCTGAGATTAAAGAAGATGGAAAGCTTCATGTTACAGTTAGGAAATCAAATGCTTCAAGATCCGATGTGTTTTCGAGAAGGTCGCAGGGTTTTTCCTCTACGACCCCTCGTCCATCGAATCTGACGAATGCAGAGATTTATTCTCTGCAATCGTCACGAAACCCGACCCCAAGAGGGTCGAGTTTCAACCATACTGATTTTTATTCAATGGCGGCCGCCGGCGGTGGTGGTGGTGCGAGGAATTCGAACTTTGGAGCTAATGATGTTTATGGTTTGTCTGTGTCCAGAGGGCCCACTCCCAGACCTTCCAATTATGAAGAGGAAGGCAGTGGGAGCGTTCCCAATAAGTCTCGTTTTCATCATGGAGTGCCGGGTAGTAACTACCCGGCACCCAATCCGGGGATGTTTTCCCCTTCGACGGGGAAACCGACTGTTCCATTGACTAAAAAGGTCAATGGACAGAAGACAGATGAAGGTTCGAATGATCTTCACATGTTTGTTTGGAGCTCGAGTGCTTCTCCAGTTTCAGACGTATTCGCTGCACGCGAATACGGAGCACTCGATCATCCAACTACAAAAGATGTAAAAACGCCGATATCACCTCTAAAAGGTAAGTCATTGTTTTTTTAAATTATATTTTCATTTTACATAATTAAATTAAAAAAATGTTTTATTTATTAGGAAACGGAGAAGAATACTTGGAGAGAGCAGAATTTTCTTTTGGAAATAACAATATAAATATCGAAGGCGGAAAGGGGAAAGGTGTTGGTGGCACTGCAATGCCACCGACCAGTGTAATGACGAGACTTATACTGATAATGGTGTGGCGGAAGTTGATCCGAAACCCGAATACGTATTCGAGTTTAATCGGGCTCATTTGGTCTTTAGTGTGTTTTAGGTAAAAATATGATGAATACATTATGTTAATCTTTTTTTATATTTTTATATATATAAATGAAGAGATTTTTTAAATAATATAAAATTATATTTAATTTATAGGTGGAATGTTGAAATGCCAGCAATCATAGCAAAGTCGATATCAATACTGTCTGATGCAGGCCTTGGCATGGCTATGTTCAGTCTTGGTTAGTACCAAACATTCTCTCTATCCCTATTTCATGTTTATTGTTATTTAGTCATATCTGATTTGATATATTATAGTTTAATAAAATGTATATTTTAACCTTATGACATAATATTTTATATCAATAGACAAATAAGTAAATTTGACACGAAATATATATGAAAAAAGAAACATTTTTGTTCCTTGGGACAAGGTAATATTTTTACGAACTCAAATTAATGTTATCTTGTCATCGGACATAGTTTTTGATAAATTTGAATATGGATTTTTTTTTTAATTAAATCAACATCAAATCAAATCGTTATATTCGTTTTGTAACATATCACTTTTTGAATTAAATAGGAATCTGATTAGGAGTATGTTGTCTGCCTAATTTTGAATTTTGATGTACAATACTTTTTATCTTTTTAAATTTAATATTCAAAATGTTTTATTAAATCGGGCACCAAAAGAAAGTAGTACTTTCTTTTTACTATTCGTTTAAAGAAATGAGACTTTTGGACCAAATATCAAGTGGTAAAAAAAAAAAGTAGATACACGTTAAAAGTGAAACACAAATATTGTATTTATTTTAAATTAACAGTGAAAAAAAATAAAATAAAAAAGGTATTGGAATTAGTTAGGCATGGTGATGATGATGATGATTACCTTCAAGTAGTAGTGGTGGGGATGATGATGGAAAGGTGTTTTAGATTGTCGGGGGGAAAAGTAAAAGACTTTGATTGATTTTGGGTGTCAATGGGAATCAACAGAATAAGATTCTTGACCCTCAAGGGTAATTTCGTAAATTCACTAAAAAGCTGATTTCTGTTTTCCCAAAATAACAGTATATTTTGTCCTTTCGTAGTAGATTCCATGGGCAGCTTGTCCAAAATGAAATTTTAATACAGTTAAAAATGTTGAAGAGTATATCGTTTTCATTAGGATTTATACATTCTCTTAATGGTTAAGAGAATCTATTGTTACGTATCAAACAGCCATTAAATGTTGGTGTCATGATTACGTATATTATAATATGTAAATAAATAAATTAAGTGAAAATGTAATGTTATTATATATATATTTATTAAGAAAAATAAATAAATTATACAGGTTTATTTATGGCATTGCAACCAAAGATAATCGCATGTGGAAATTCCGTAGCAACTTTTGCAATGGCCGTGAGATTCCTTACAGGACCGGCTGTCATGGCAGCTGCTTCCATCGCCGTCGGACTTCGCGGCGTTCTCTTACGTATTGCCATCGTCCAGGTGTTCATTAATTTCTTTGTTTATTATTTTTTTATTTTTTTATTTTTTTATTTTTCCTTCTTTAACTACATTAAATATTTATTATATCTATATTAATTTCCTTTTCTTTTTTAGTTATTTAATATCAGAAACTATCAAGGTTTATGATTATCTAAAATCAAGCAATTATACCTTATATGCATGAGTTATATGCATGAGGTGTCATTTAACAAAATGAATAATTTTCGACTATTTGTATAAAATGAACTCCATATGCAAAGCTTTTTGAATAGTCCCCACATAAAAAAAAAAGACTTAAAAAATAGATGATAAATCATGGATTTTATATTTTCACAATATAATAAGCAAAAAAAAAAAAAAAAAAAAAAAAAAGCACTTTAAGATGTTTTTTTTTTTTAATGGTGAAAATAATAAGAAAAGCAATTTTGCTATCGCAATGGAGTTATTTTAACATTGATGGTCATTTTATGTTAAAGAGATAAAAAGTTGTATCTTGCATTTTCTTGTTTACAACTTTTTAAGATATAATATAACGTGATTTATTTTATTTTATGACAAAAGGGTGATAATGAGGGTCACGTGAGAGTCACGTGGAGCATGTCCATGCCTTGATCAAAGCAAAACAAAGCGTGCATTTGGATTATTTAATTAAACACTAAATCCGACACCCACATTTTGTCTGCCACTCCGTTTATAATTACTATATGCTTCTTCGTAACCTTAAAAGGATAAACCACAAAAAAATAAAAATTAAAAAAAAAAAACATATATATCCAATGAATCATAATAACTAATTATTTAATTTTATCATTAACTTTAATGTTACTTTTTTTGTTTTAATAATCCGAATGCACATATCAAGATACACTAAAAATAAAATAATATAAGTGAATTTGGTCTTTCAACTGTATCTATTATTTCTAGATATAGCTGAAGACTAAGCTGATATAAATCGATTTTTTTAATTTGAGAAATATAAAATTTTAAAAAGTTTTTAAAGTAAAGTTATGCATATACGTATGATTGAGATTATGTATGAACCCTATAGTATATAGTGAAAATTATTATTATTACTTAACATGAATGAAATGTTAAATAAGTACACATAACATAACAAATATGAGTGTACATTAAAATAATAGTATGGATTGTGCTGATGCAATCAAAGTTGTAGTTAAATACAAAAATGCTCTCAATTTGATTCTCAATGTTTTCATTATATCCAACGGGTGTTTTTTTCTTTTACTTTTTACGTGATTATATATACGTATGTATATAAAGTAAGTTTTGTTATTTTACAAATTTAGTCCTCTAACTTTTTCTTTTTGATGATAAAAATGGTGAAAAAAACAAACAGGCTGCTTTACCACAGGGTATTGTCCCCTTTGTCTTTGCGAAGGAGTACAATGTCCACCCTGATATCCTTAGCACTGGGTACGTCTTTCAGCTTTTTTTCCTTTCACTTTATTTTATTCTTTCTTTTTTCTTTCCAAAATTGATTCCTTCTGTAACTATAATGTTCTTTCCTACAAATAATATTAAATTATTCTTATTTAATTCTTTAAAAATCCCATTTTTTTAATCTGGTTTTGAAGATGCTTGATTTCTTTTATGTAATGTTTGCAGTGTAATATTTGGAATGCTGATAGCGTTACCCATAACGCTTGTCTACTATATTTTGCTTGGACTAGAGAAATAGCTAAGCTACTCAAGGATGACGTCATCATAATGGTTAACAATATGTCAAGAAACTCATGCTCAAAAGTAATTGTTTATGTAGCTTTTAAGGTTTTTAGTTGGTAGAAATAGAAAAAAAAAACGTGGTGTTAATTGGGTTTGTTCCACATTGTTTAGTCGAGTCGATGTTATACAAAAACACGATAAACTCGTCTCGTTTAATGTAGTTTGTGTATTTGTTGCATTATGTTATAATTCAAATTGTTGCAAAATGTATAGCTGATGGCATCTCTAACCTTACACTAAAGAACTAATTTACACAATAATGCTTCAACACTACTCTATACCTAACATTATATATAGCCTTGGAGAATACTGTAACATTAAATATAATATTACACTATTCATTAACATTAAACATAGTATTATACTATTCATTAGATTAGTGAGTATGGACAACTAGTTATTACATCAAAAAATTGTTACGACTAGAGTTCAATCTCTCAGAAAGTCATAGTACGACTACAAGGAAAGAGATCTGAAAGTAGCCTTTTTTATATTATGAATATGAGAATGAATCCTACTACTTCTGGTTCTGGGGTTACCACGCTTGACAAAAAGACACTGGGGCGTATGGATTACTAGTTCCTTCCTTCCCAATCAATGCTAACTCTATCTTCCTCTCTTGAAATTTAGGAGATTTCCCCAGCCCATAAAGAACTATAGTTACATACAGCTCTCAAAAGATAAAAAGAGAAAGAGCTATGACTTCAAGTAAGAAAGTGAAAGTTCAGTCCTCACCGCCAAAAAGAAGACAGCTTGGAACTTGGTATCTTTGACGCGATCATGCAAGTCTCTCTTATCTCCTTCATGCAATCTTTCCCGCATCTTGCGAGAAGGGAACAAAGTAGCAGATTCGCTGGCATCCTTTGCTCACGCTCATAGGGACAGCATGGTGTTCTACTCAGAAGATCAGTTTCCCACTTGCTGCAAAAGTCATCTGCTTCATGATGCTTTGGGCTTATATAGCTTCCGACCATCATAGGTCTTTATGTCCTACGGAATCGAAAATCTATCCTACGGAATCGAGATTTTCCCTTAAGTATTAAGGGAAGTCTATCGATAATCTGTCCTACGGAATCGAGATTTTTCAACTACTTAAGTATAAGGTCAGCCTATCGATAATCTGTCCTACGGAATCGATAAAGTTGGTCATCAGGTAGCTACGAATCGAGAATCATCTCACATACCATGTTAATATGTTATTATAACACCAAATTGATGAAATGGCAACTAATTATAACACTCCATGTCATCATTTTTTTTTCGATTTAATTTTTTATATTTATAAAAACAAAATTAATTAAAACATGTTAATTAAATAAAACCTAATTTTTTAATTAAACATAACATTTAAAAATCTAAAAAAAACATTATAACAAAAAAAAACATTTAAAAACAAAAAAATTGCATTTTCACCCATAATTTATTCATTTTCATTTCAATCGTACATAAAATCAGCCAAATCTTCTCGAAGTTGCTTGTGTTTTCATACGTTTTGAATATCTACGACCCTATGCAAATATTTCGTTGTCCCGAGTTGAAATTGCATGTGTCTGAGCTCTGAAGCCAAATGCAATATTTTGTCATTTACTTTCAACCACCACGTTATGCATTGTGATACATGAATACATAGTATATTGTAGAACGTCTAGCTGATACGGTCGTGCCGTATGTTCAACGATGTGCCATTTCAACTTTAGAACTCCAAAAGCACGTTCCAAATCCATAAATCTTGGGAAATAATAATCTCTAATACCAACGAAGGCACTACATGATGACCACTTGTGTACTGACATTTCTACACCACAAGACAAATTCTCCATTTCCAGTGTGTGTAATCAATGCTTCCAAACATACGTGGAAAACCGTGTCTTTCTTCATGCGCAACATATAGTTGTTGTATATCATTCAACGAATGTTTGCGCAAATAAACGTCACCGAAGGTTTCGAAAACACCTATCATCAATCTATACAAACTTTCTCTTGCAGTTCTTTCAGACATTCTCATATAATCGTCAATCGAATCAGGCGACTCTCTCATTGCCATAAGCTTAATTGCAGCAATACATTTCTGCAATAATGTGAATCATCGCTTACCTCTAGCATCATATATTACTTGGAAAAATTCATACCTAATGTCACAACTAGCATTTTAGCTAGAAAATTTTGTTTTCATCTAAACATCAATTATTGTAAGACTTGTACTCTAAGCGTATATCATACTCTATGCTAAACTGAAATCATCAATTTGAATCAAAACATCTGAGTGAAGTTCAAAACCTAATACAATACATCTCATATATTCAACTATGGGTTGAAACCCTAAAAATCTCAGATCAAATTTATTATGGACTAGGATCCTCATATTGGGCCTAATGGGCCAATAAACTTTCAAATTGGGTAAGTTGAGCCAAGGAACCCTATTTGGGCTCTATATGGACCTACATTCTTCAAGTTAAAGTATTTTGGGCCATGTTGGGCCTAAAATGACTCACTTTATTTTTATGGGCCTTAATGGGCCATAGATGTTTTCTTGAACCTAACGTTGGAATAGTGTCTAAGGCTGCAACTATATTTGATCCGGTTGTGCATGGTCCTTTTGGGTTGCCTTCACCATAGCAACTTGATGGATGATTTGTTAAGAGAGAGTAAATATTATAAGGAATAATATATGGTTATTTGATTAATATAAGTCATAGATTAATTGGAATTAATTTGGTGACTTAAAGAGATTAATTAAATAAGAGGGTATAAACTGTCAATTGTTTGATAGTTACACTTTAGACTATAAATCCTTATCCATGATAGGATGGACGATTTCTAGGGCTTGGATAAGCCAAAATCGTCCATAAGGTTATCAAGGAAAGGATATGGATCAACTTAAAGTCTAAGTTATCCAATTAGGGTTAAAGTTGTAATTCTTAAGGAGTCTACAAGTATAAATAGACCCTAGGGGTGAGGGAATTCGAGTAATCACAACACACCATCTAAAGTAGAGATACTCTGGCCGAATTCCTTCCCTCTCCTCTCTCCTAAATCATCTTGCTTGCTATTGGTGTTTGTAAGCCATTAGAGGAGTGACATTTGTGACTCTAGAAGCTCCAAGACAACAAGATCAACAAGGAATCCAAAGGTATAATTATAGATCTATTTCAATGTTGTTATTTAACCTAATTAGCCATTAGAAGTATTGGACTCAAAGCATGTTTAATTAGAAAGCCTAGATCCGAGCATTAGGGTTTTGCATGCGCACATAGGAAAGTTCTTATGGCTAAAACACATCAGTGGTATCAGAGCCTAGCTTGGTTTTCTTTAAATTGTTGCTTGATTAACTGAAACAAACCTGCAAAATTCGATTTTTGGGTTTCTGAGTCATGGACTCGGCGAGTTCCAAAGTGGACTCGGCGAGTAGGCCTGACTCGGCGAGTCCCTTTGTGTACTCGGCGAGTCCGGGCGTCAGGATTAGGCAAAACCGGGATTTTTTCATGTTTATCTTATGGAAACTTACCTTAATCATATTAGATCAACCCTAATCCGATTTTTTGATATATATGACTATAATCTTGATCTAATTAAAGATATTTATCTTCTAATAAAATATTTAATTTACTTATATGATAATTGATTGATTATTTTGATAATTATCTTAAAAGAAATCTTGGATAAATCAAATAAAGATAATTAGGATATTAATTGTTAATTGGAATTATTTGTTATTTGATCCTCCATTTTTTCAAATGTTTAAAACTTGCCCTCAAGTTTTGAAATTTATATTTGTGATTAAAATGTTTTAATTTAGACAACTTAAATTTCAAACCCTACATTTTAAAAGGTTTAAAACACAACCTTATACTAATATGATATTACTAGAATAATATATATATATGTATAACTAAATGCTAGTCTTACCATTAGTAGGCCTCATTCACGAAGCCGATCTATAAGGTGGGTATAAGGTTGCGGCCTATAAAATGGCGCTTAATGGGTGTACACTCACACCCACCGCTTGCTTGATTGGTGGAGGGTCGTTAGCCGAATGGGTAGGATAGGGCAACCTCATCCTCTCATTAAAAGTATAATAAGAAATACAAAGTAACTACATGTTTTAAAAATTTCCCAATTTAGTTACTTTAGGAAAAGTGAATTGATGCAATCCCATGAAATTGCACTTTGCACCCTTGCTAAGAAGTTAGTGGAGCGTGTGTGGTTTACCGGCACACTAATTGGTTCTAAGCAAAGGTGGCAAAGGGTGATTCATTGTTTATCATAGTTCGATGGAGCGTGTGTGGTTTACCGGCACATCGAATAGGTGATCGTTACAATGAAGGCACCATGTGAATTTGCATGGTAATTCACACCCGCTTTGTGATCCTCGGCATCCCAGTCACAAACAAGAGGGGCATATCGAGATTTAAACATGCCATTGAATAGTTCAATGAATCTCATCCGAACCTAGGAATTCTCAATACACTTAGGACTAATAGTCTAGGTTTGTTATGGAGAATAGTGAATCGTCATTCACTTACCTTCAATTTATTTCATGTTAGATTACGACATCCCTTTTCTAATATGTAAATGTTATTGTTGGATCCTAACCCTAATTTTTCTTATTGGGTGATAATTAGGGATTCTTATTCTAATCTATCTTTGTCCTTTCTATAGATGTCGAACACAAACAACGCTGCTGCGAGTTCTTTCACGTTGATGAGCCTTTGCCAAAAGGTCACCGTCGATGGAACGAACTTTAGCGAATGGATAAGATACATTCGCACCATTGCTCGCTACGAGGATAAGGAGTATGTCCTCGATGAAAAGCTTGAGAAGATCAACCCCGAAATCGCTACTCCGGCTGAAATCACCGCTTTTGAGACTCATGAGCGAGATGCAACGAAGGTACATTGCATCATGATTGCCACCATGAACTCCGAATTCCAAAAGTCCTACGAGGACATGTATCCATACGAGATGCATCAAGACTTGTTGGAGAGATACCACCAAAACGCGAGACAAGAGCGTTATGAGATTTTCACTAACATGATCTCCGCTAAGATGGGTCATGGAGAATCTCTTACCGTGCACCTGCAAAAGATGCAAAGGTATGTCGATCGCCTTCGCAAGTTAAATGTTGACTTTGGGGAAGACTTAGCGATCGACATGGTGCTTCACTCTTTGCCTCCGATGTACAACCAATTTAGGATGACTACCACATGAACAAAGAGGAGGTCACCCTAAGCAAACTC